TTAATGTTAGAACTGGAAATCCAGGGTGGAGGAAGTTACTTGCTACACAATGCTGCACATTGAGGGGGGCAAAGCATTTTACAATCCTACCAATATATTTGCTTCTTCTTGTTTATTCCATACCCTGTAGGGACGCGGGTGGAGCTGTGGGTTAAACCACAAAGCTAGGACTTGCCAATCAGAAGGTCGCGGTTCGAATCCCCGCGATGGGGTGAGCTCCCGTTGCTCGGTCCCTGCTCCTGCCAACCTAGCAGTTCGAAAGCACATCAAAGTGCAAGTAGATAAATAGGTACTGCTCCGGTGGGAAGGTAAATGGCGTTTCCATGCGCTGCTCTGGTTTGCCAGAAGTGGCTTAGTCCTGCTGGCCACATGACCCGGAAGCTGTACGCTGGCTCCCTCGGCCAATAAAGCGAGATGAGCGCCGCAACCCCAGAGTCGGCCACGACTGGACCTAATGGTCAGGGGTCCCTTTACCTTTACCTTTATTCTTTAAATCTTCTTAAAATGGGGCACAGTCCACAAGGAATTTCTCTTGTTCAAGTTCTATAAAATTGATGACACTAGACAACAAGGTTATTCTCAAAAGGTTTGGCTCAACCAGTTCACTTACTGTTAAAATCACACTCTGAGGCTTGCCCATCTTCCGAGGCAAAACTTCTTAAAATATACACATATCCTGTCATTTCAGATTTTAATCTCGGCAGGAACTGCTTTAGTTGTACCTTGTTGTTTTTTAGTTTTAAGCTATTCAGTGTTTTTATTATGTGACTTGTAAAAATTATGTGTTCTTATGTTTGTAATCCATCCTGAGAATGGAAACATTGAGAATGGAGGGTAGGTGGGTTGATAGATAAGGATTCTGTCAAACTTAACATACCTGGAATGGAATCCATTGGATTCCAAGGAGCTGTTAAGGCCTCATCCTGTATGTTTTTCTCATCTCAGTAATTAAGGCAAATATCATTGCCCACTCTGATGAGCATGAAGCTGAACATGACAGGGAGACCACACCCCCCCAGCTCAGGACTTCCACCGCAACTGCTGTGGGCTGGTTGGCATCTCTCTCTCTCGGGAGACAATGGGAGAGTGCACCTTTGGAAAAATTGCAGTGCCTTCTGTGGCTGTAGAGACCAATATGGTAGAGACATGTTTTGTTGCAGCTTGGGCAGTTGAAGGCATCCGGCTGTGCTGATGCATCTGTATCATGGCGTTTCTTTTTTCTGTGCTCATCCCAGTGGTCATTCCTCCTCTGGTGACTGCTGTGGATATATGACCTGACTGATTGTCTACAGGTGCTGTGGTCATCTGCAAGGGATTCCCATGTGGCAGAGCTGTGTTGCCAGCCTTCGTGTCATCTTAGCAGACGACATCTTTGCAACACAGAGTTGGTCAGTCAATGGTCCTGGTGCCTGAAGCCAGCTCCTCATAGAGCACATGTTTGGGGATCCATGCCTGTGTAAGTGTCTGGAGGCGCTTGGAGGATGGATGGCGGCTAATGGATTGAGGTTAAAGCCTGACAAGACAGAAGTACTATTCTTGGGGGAATAGGGGGCGGGGTGGTGTGGAAGACTCCCTGGTCCTGAATGGGGTAACTGTGCTCCTGAAGGACCAGGTGCGCAGCCTGGGAGTCATTTTGGACTCACAGCTGTCCATGGAGGCGCAGGTCAGTTCTGTATCCAGAGCAGCTGTCTACCAGCTCCATCTGGTACACAGGCTGAGACCCTACCTGCCCGCGGACTGTCTCGCCAGAGTGGTGCATGCTCTAGTTATCTCTCGCTTGGACTACTGCAATGCGCTCTACGTGGGGCTACATTTGAAGGTGACCCAGAAACTACAACTAATCCAGAATATGGCAGCTGGACTGGTGACTGGGAGCAGCCACATGATCTGGAAAGCTGTCTGTGCACAAATGCCAGCTCCCTTGGCCTGAAAGTGAGGAGCGCCATAACCTCATAGTCGCCTTTGACTGGACTTAACCATCCAGGGGTCCTTTACCTTTACCTTTATTTATACAACACAAACGACATAGTGAGGATGCTCTTTCCCTTTTGTCCCTCAAGGTCCAGTATTTTCTAATGTCATGGAAATGTATGCTGGTGCCTTATGCGCTCCTTGTCTGTGAGCAATACTTAGCTGAGAGGGGATTTTAGTGACAAATATGAACCCCAGCAGGATCTGTCAGAGAGTGCCTCCGCTGCTGACTGAACCGTTGTACAGACATCCCACATTATGCATGAGACCTGTGCCAGTACTGTATGAGCCATGGGGCTTCTTAAAAACACAACCGCCTTAAAAAGCATTAAGGCTTGACTTCTCTTTGCTGTGCTGTGGTTCCAGAAAGCCCTCTGGGGTGCAACCCTCGCTTGGGGTTCATTGTGACAGAAACACTGTTTCTGAACTGAACTGCTTCAGAACAATAGAATAATGAATCCCTGACAATATTCCTTTGTGCAGTACATTACTATTCTAATCATATATTATAGGTAGCTCTGAACACTTCTTTCGAGCCAGAATTTCATCTGCCTCCCTTGCCTTGTAGGAACCCTGCTGGTGAGACAATGGATAGCTTATAAAGCTAATGGCCTCTCTCTCTCTCTCTCTCTCTCTCTCTCTCTCTCTCTCTCTCTCTCTCATTCCCCCCTTGGAGGAGGAACAGAAAGGACAAAGCACACTCAAAGACTTCCCCTCACTGATGTGTGTGTTTTAAAAATACAAAGATGAAAGAAAGAAAGAAAGAAAGAAAGAAAGAAAGAAAGAAAGAAAGAAAGAAAGAAAGAAAGAAATCCTGATGCGCTGGGTGGCCTTCATTAATATTTATTTTGAGATTAATATTGATAAGCAACAACAGCAAACCCCCCCCCCCCAAATAGGCGCAGCTTGCTCTGTTGTCTATCCTTTCAATTCCCTGTTATTCAAGCAGTTTGCCATTAGATTGCACCTCCCTCTGTACCCACAGCTTTCGAAAGCTCTGGCAGGGCTCCAGCTCACTTACGCTTAAATGGGCACTCAAGCTTCGACGGACACACAGCTAAATAGAGGCCAATAATTCAATACAGTATGACTGTGCCGGGGCTGCTAGTAAATCCATCAAGCAGTAAATATCATCTGAAGCCAATGCAAGCTTTTATCTTTCCAATTTTGTGTATGTCTGTGTGAAGCCCAAGCATTCAGCGAATCATGTAATTTATTCTGCAGTGCAGAGCCTCGGCTGCCTCAGACACATCATATTGACTCCCCCCCCCCATCTGTCACGAGTAGTCAGCGCACTCCTTGCTATTCCTCCCCCCCCCCCTGCACACATCCCACCCCCACTTCATGCAAGCACATCACATGTCATTTCATTTCATTTACTTATTTATTTATTTGCACTCTCCAGCACGACCGGGCAAGGACACATTTCCTTCTGAGCAACAAATGCTAAAGGGAAGGAAACTCAGGGCCAGGCGGGGCGACATCTGAATGTCATTAGAGCAAGCATGTTAAACATTTGTCCAAACCGGTTTGTTAAATCGGCGAAGGTGCTTCCAAGCAACTGCTTGTAATGGGTTCGGGAAAGGCTCCCTATTGCAATGTTTTTATTAAGCTGCAAATATGCCCTGTTATTTTCTTTTGCTCTTTGGGTCAGCCAGGATGGCAGCGTAATGTAAATAATACCGAACAGCTGGGCTTATTGAATTATGGTGTGTGTTTGGGTGGATAAGACACAGGCGCAGAAGATGAAACCGATACAGGTTAGGGGGGCAGATTCCCCCCCCCCGTGTGGATGTGCGACTCGCATGCATGCAGACACGCACAAGCGCAGAGAGAGAGATGCTGCTGTGAAATCCATCCCCCGACCCATAAGTGAGGCTGCGTCCCCCGGGGAGGACAGATGGCAGAACCACTGACCTCATTTCCAGAGGTTAACCACAGAGCTGAAACAAATGGTGCTTTTCAAATTTGCAAATCAAATTCACCCCCACCCCAGAATTCAAATTCACACATTTTCTTTTTTAAAAAAATCAAAAATCAATGCCGGATGTTTCTTTTCTTTCTAATTACCATCTTAGACACGTCCACTGCTTGCAGATGATCCATACAAAAGCCTTTATGCCTAAAGGTAGGCCAAATGCAACCATCGTTGCAAGAATCCTTGTGCAGCTATGGGCTGGTGGGTGTCTGTCTCTATTAGCTTGGCCATGTAAGTCAGTGGTGGGAAACCCATCTTATCCCAAGGCCACCCTTCCAGGGCCAAATGGCAGTGGTAGAGGGAGCCAGAGGCAGAGTGAACAGAGCTACAAATCTAAAAAATTTCCATTACAGTGGTAAAAAGGTAAAGGTAAAGGGACCCCTGACCATTAGGTCCAGTCGTGACCGACTCTGGGGTTGCAGCGCTCATCTCGCTTTACTGGCCGAGGGAGCCGGCGTACAGCTTCCGGGTCATGTGGCCAGCATGACTAAGCCGCTTCTGGCAAACCAGAGCAGCGCACGGAAACGCCGTTTACCTTCCCGCTGAAGCGGTACCTATTGATCTACTTGCACTTTGACGTGCTTTTGAACTGCTTGGTTGGCAGGAGCAGGGACCGAGCAACGGGAGCTCACCCCATCGCGGGGATTCGAACCGCCGACCTTCTGATCGGCAAGTCTTAGGCTCTGTGGTTTAACCCACACCGCCACCCGCATCCCGCTCATTAAAGTGGTACCTCAGGTTAAGTACTTAATTTGTTCCGGAGGTCCGTACTTAACCTGAAACTGTTCTTAACCTGAAGCACCACTTTAGCTAATGGGGCCTCCTGCTGCTGCTGCACTGCCGGAGCAAGATTTCTGTTCTCATCCTCAAGCGATGTTCTTAACCCAAGGTACTATTTCTGGGTTAGTGGAGTCTGTAACCTGAAGCGTATGTAACCCAAGATACCACTGTATACAGTAGGTTAGTTTTTAGACACATACTCTCTCTCAAACACACCCCATCCTCTATCCAGGCAAGCAAAAGATGTTCTCAGACATCTCAAGTATACCTTCTCTAGGTAGCTCAGTAGGTAGAGCATGAGACTCTTGATCTCAAGGTCATGGGTTACAGCCCCACATTGGGCAGGTTTCCTGCATTGCAGGGGGTAAGGCAACATGACCCACATGGTTCCTTCCAACTCCACAATTCTACGATCCATTGATGATAATGATGATGATGATGATACTTATTATTATTAATTGTTGTTGTTGGTTGTTTGTTTGTTTATACCTCGCCCATCTGGCTGGGTTTCCCAAGCCACTCTGGGTGGCTCCCAACAGAATATTAAAAACACGATAAAACATCGAACCTTAAAAACTTCCCGAAATAGGGCTGCTTTCAGATGTCTTCTAAAAGTCAGATAGTTGTTTATTTCCTTGACATCTGATGGGAGGGCATTCCACAGGGTGGGCACCACTACCGAGAAGGCCCTCTGCCTGGTTCCCTGTAACCTCACTTCTTGCAGTGAGGGAACCGCCAGAAGGTCCTCAGCGCTGGACCTCAGTGTCCAGGCTGAACGATGGGGGTGGAAATGCTCCTTCAGGTATACTGGGCCGAGGCCGTTTAGGGCTTTAAAGGTCAGCACCAACACTTTGAATTGTGCTCGGAAACGTACTGGGAGCCAATGTAGGTCTTTCAGGACCGGTGTTATATGGTCTCGGTGGCCACTCCCAGTCACCAGTCTAGCTGCCGCATTCTGGATTAGTTGTAGTTTCCAGACACACAGAAACACTCAGGATATGAATCAGGGCCAGTGCAGGGTGTGGCCTGAGGGGAATTCTAGTTAGCTAGGTCTAGAAGTTTGCCTTTGACCCTCAGTTCTCCATCTCTTATGGAAATTAAAGTTGTGGAGGGAGGCAGAAGTCATCCCCTTTATATGTGTGTGTGTGTGTGTGTGTGTGTGTGTGTGTGTTTCTACACTCGGTAGGGCTCACTTATTATTTCTGTTTATTGTGCACACATCTACTTTCCCCACTTAGCTTCTTTAAAATTTCCACGTTGCTTTGAATTACACTTAGCCCTTTGGCTATCCAGGACATTTTGTGCCTGATGTATGTGCTAATACAAGAGTTTTAAAACTGTTGCCATTCACTCTATTTGCAATTAAATTCTGTTCCAAATATTCCGAGCAGGAATTGATTAGCTCTGCTGCTATTCCCATTGAGTGCATAGATGAATTATCCGTCTGTGGGCCAGCCACAACTATTTAAATCAAATGAAAAAGGAGATGGCTTCCTTACAGTCCAAAGCTGCCAAGTTATGAGGACAGCTTGCAAAAGTATTGCGCACTAAAAACTCGCACAAAAGATGAAGAACAGCTGGGGAAACTAAGGCCTTTGGAAGATCATTAATGTGAAAACAAAGATGCTCATTGAATATAAATTATGGATTTTACATTTAATAATAATAATAATAATAATAAAACCACACGTAATGATCTGCAACTACTTATTTTCTGAGATCCCTTTCTGTCATCTTCCTGCTGTGTGTCTCATCATGACACATTCGGTGTTCACACCGGAACGCACGCTCAGACTCCTATTCCATTCACCTTTGCTAACCTCCATTTAAAAAGAGCTTTGCTGCATGCTTTTGTACTGAGCAAAGGGCAAATCAGTATGCTGCGGGGTTTTTGTTTTTTACTTTTGGGGGGGTAGGGAAAGAAGCAAATTAAAAGGCAAGGCTCTGAACCGTTTCCCAACACCTGAGAGCAATTAATGTAGCCGTAGTCAGGAAGCATTGTCAATTATTTAAAATGAAATGAATATGTAACAATGACCTTTTCCAATAGGCATTGGCTTTTCATACTTACACCTGAATAAGTTCAAGAAGGAACAAAAGCATAAGAGATGTTCTGACTCTATATTGTAAAACACACAAACAGAGCACAGAGTAAAACAGTATTATGGCTGCCCTTTGCAGTTATTTTATCCCATCTGCTCAGCTCAAACTGGTGATCTGACAATTGTATTCCATGGAAGAATAGCCCTCTCTGTACTTGGCAATACTTCCTCAGCTTTTTATACATTATTTTGCCTAGTCTGAGCTTCTCTTGTCAACAATATTAAAAATTATTATGATTATGAGGGAAATTATCAAAGGGCAGGTGGTATATATTTTCCTAGGGTTGCCGTCTTCTGGTTTTAATTAATAAAAATTGCCCTTCATGTGCCATTCAGAGTTGCTTGCACGAAAGAAAAGACTGCTATAGCTGCCTCTGGCTGCTCTACAGGATTCAGAGAGCTGGATCTGCATAAAGGGATGTTCACACTATACATTTAAAGCACATTTAAAGCAAATGGATCCCCCAAATTATCCTGGAAAGTGTAGTTCACTCCTCACAGAGCTGCAGTTTCCAGCACCCTTAACAAACTACAATTCCCAGGATTCTTTTGGGGGAAGCCATGTGCTTGAAATGTGGGTGTGGCCACAGCCATATTCAAAATAACAAGTTGAAGCATTTTGTGCTTTTCAGAGCTCCGAGAAATTCCATACATGTACACACTGCAGTTTAAAGAAGATTTGATGCACCTGCATTTCATGTTGTCCACATGACATTGTCCTCATCAAGGTGGAAGCCCACATCCCCTTAACTCATTCAATTCAGATTTCACACCTTCCAACATTTATCTGATGAAAATAGGGATGTCTTATTTGACTGGGTTGCTCCAGACATTCTGGGCAGCTTCCAACATATATAAAAACAAAGCATTAAACATTTAAAAAAAACTTCCCTATACAGGGCTGCCTTCAGATGTCTTCTAAAAATTGTAGAGTTACTTATCTCCTTGGCTGGAGGCTCGCATATCTCCATACCCTCTAACATTTCTCCAATGAAAATAGGGACGTCCTAAGGAAAAGCGAGACATTCCAGGACCAAACTGCGGGAGACAGTGGAAGACAGGCGTGCCTGGCGTGCTCTGGTCCATGGGGTCACGAAGAGTTGGACACGACTAAATGACTAAACAACAACAACATATTCCACTCTAATTCTGAAAGAGCCTTTCATGTCATGTGACAGCACAAATATAATATGGAACCTAACATAACCCTCCTTTCCCTGTCACTGTTCTAGGAGTTATCCCAGCCTCCCCTCTGAGCCGAATTTCGTGGGGAGGTGGCACAAGGGAAGTAGAGAGGGAAAGACCTGGTAAATGGCTTTTACTGACAATGTTTAAGGTGAATCTTGCCTGTTGCAACAGAGTTCAATTGATAGTTCTCATGCCTGAATAAACGTACACAAAGGTAGTGCCAGATTTAGGGCAGTGTCTGTGGTCCCCACCCAGAAACAGGCTGCCAAACCGAGGAGGTACAAAATAGAGAAGATCTATAATCGATAAGATCCATTTGGGGGTGCCAAATTTTGGGGTGGCACAGGGTGCCATACAGTGGTACCTCGGGTTAAGAACTTAATTCGTTCTGGAGGTCCGTTCTTAACCTGAGGTACCACTTTAGCTAATGGGGCCTCTTGCTGCCACCGCGCCGCTGCCGTGCGATTTCTGTTCTCATCCTGAAGCAAAGTTCTTAACCCAAGGTACTATTTCTGGGTTAGCGGAGTCTGTAACCTGAAGCTTCTGTAACCCGAGGTACCACTGTATTAGGAAATATTTCCAAAGTCCACAAAAGCACATGTGGAGAAAACAGAACTGTGCGACCCATGTGCAGGTTAACAGCCTGGTGGATGTAATGGGGGAACTACATCTGTTGAATGTTCGCCTGCTTTAGCGGTCTGAATTAAGCCATACCTCTTTCTGACTATTTCATTTGTTTATTCCCAGAACTCCTGCCCTGCCTTTGTCAAAGCACCGGATGGGAAACAGACACCTGGAAAAAGCTCAAGTGTCACCAGAGCTAATTATTTAAAGGCTGTTCCTGCCAATAGTCCTTTGTACTGAGTGGCTGTCAGCTTGGGCCGCTATTTTGGAAGGGGGTGGAGAGAGTCTTGGGAAACATTACCCTGGATCCTTTGAATTAAGCGAGTGCGGCATTTGTCAGCATGTTTTACAAGTCTGTTCCCTCTCATTTCATGAGCCATCATTTAAAGGGTTACGTTTCATTTGTAGAAAGGTCACTTTGCTATGGAGAAGTAAAACTGGCATTTAAAGTGATTTGTGTTTGGACACAGGAGCTCTTTGATTCATTACAGAAACAGTTATCATATGATAATTCTGAAATATATAAGGATCTACATGTGGTGTATAGATCGTTTTATCTGCATGTTCTTGTAGGGTTCGAAAATAAGATGGACCTTATAAGTGACACCAGAGCTTTCCAAACTGTTGTGCATGACACATTAGTGCATGGGTAGGCAAACTAAGGCCCGGGGGCCGGATCCGGCCCAATTGCCTTCTAAATCTGGCCCGCAGACAGTCTGGGAATCAGTGTGTTTTTACATGAGTAGAATGTTTCCTTTTATTTAAAATGCATGTCTGGGTTATTTGTGGGGCATAGGAATTTGTTCATTCCCCCCCCCCCCAAAAAAAATATAGTCCGGCCCCCCACAAGTTCTGAGGGACAGTGGACTGGCCCCCTGCTGAAAAAGTTTGCTGTCCCCTGCATTAGTTTGTTGGCTGCAGTGTGTAGGTGTGTCACGTTAATGCTCCTCTCGGGACTGGAAAGGGGTTAGTTTTAACTTCTGGTTTTCTAGTAAAACTGAATAATTGTGTCACGAAATGATGCCTGTCTAAAAAGTGTGTCACCTACATGAAAAGTTCGAAAAGCCCTGAGTTACACTGTAAAGGTTTCTTAGAAAGCTTCACAAGCAAGGAACTTTCTGAATCACCAGCTCACGCAAATGTACAAAATTAACATGAATTATAGACTGGAGGTTTTTGCATGTGTGGAGGGGCTAGCTACGTTAAACAGTGCAGGGCTATATATTTTGCAATACAATTAAAAAAAACACACATACCAAGCAATTGTGAGCTGATCATTCAATAGAGTGAAATGCATAAATTATCCCGGCACAAAATGTTCAAGTAATATTAACCTAAAGATATAAGTCATCAATTTTGTTCCAGCAAATGACACTGTGTAGTTAGTATTCAAGTGTTACTACATAAATAAAATTGATGTATGCTGACTCATCGCAGCAAAGGCTGTCAGGTTTGTGTTTGTCTTTTTCTTTTTCTTTTGGATGTCCAAATTCTGCTCCTTCCTTCTTGATCAATCGCCTCTTGGCTGCAGTGTGCAGCATTTGCTACAAACGCCTCAGCAGAGAAACTGGGCTAAGGCAAGGGGGGGGGACGGAATAATATGTTTTCTGCAGTGCCAGACTAATGACCCTTAAGTGCTTGAGGGGGGGAAATGAGCTGTGTAGGCTGCCTGCCTTTTTACAAAGACTCTGGCTCATGTATCAGGAAGCAACCACTTGTAAGGATTACAGTTGTGAGCTGGGGGTAAATACTGCATGTAGTGCCTAATTTTATGATTATGGCAGGCGATTGGCATATTAAGTCCTTACCATAATACGCTTCCATTCAGGTTTGCTTAAGTATGTTTGCTCTCCCCTCCTGCCCTGCCCTCCGCAGCTTATAAAGATTCCCTTCTTTTTTATATATATAATGTACGCTTTAATCATCTCCATCTTTTCTCCTGCTGTTTTTTTGCAGAGCTCATCATGTCATCAAAAAGACATTGATCAAATGCTGACAGGTAGGACAGAAAGCTATTTACTTTGAAACAGTAGGAGGGATTCACAGGGCAGAGAAGCACAGTTAAAAATCTGCATTGGCTGGTACTTACATTACCAGAGCTGTTCATAACTCTACTTGAGTGGGTCCCTAAAGAGCCAGAAGAGGAGGCTTAGATTTCCTTCCAGAAATGCCGCCTTCTTCTTTAAAAAAAAGAAAAGAATGTAGTGCAAAGCAGCAAAAGGAAGACCAAAACACAAGCTAATGGGTTTCAGAAAAAGAGGATTATTTAACAATAATTAAAGAGAAATGAAGAACCAGGGACCCCACTGCTCAGGATTATTTGCCGTCATTTCAAATCAGCTGACTTTAAATCCATCCAAAGCACAGCTGATGTTGAGATGGAGCTGTTTTCCTTCGAGCATCCTTCCTGAAAGCAGGGCTGGGGGCAGACATTGCAACTGTGGGAAATCATTTAAGATACTGGCATCAGCAAATATAATTGGCGGGCAGCAGCTGTTAAGTGCAACCCTCTTTTGAGAAAGCCGCCATTTTGCAAACTAGTGTGGGGTCGTGTAACATCGTTATTCCATTTACAGCTCCCATTAGGTCAACACACCAACGTCTCCCCTGCCAGCCTTCCATCTCGTAGGCCAACGCTTGCTTTTTGAAATAGAATCTTAGACACCACTGGCACGCTTCCATTATGTTGCTGTTCTGTCTTTGATGGGAAATCAGTTTCACATTGTGTTATTTTTATGTTTAGAATGGCGAAGAGAAGAAGGATCCTTTTAAATTAAGTGGGCCCAGCTTGATAGCACTTCCAAATGGAAGGGGGAAAAGCTGGGAGATTGCGTTATCATCTCAATAGTTTACCTGAAAAGGACTATGACACTGAAACAGTCAAATCGCCAAAGTCTAAGCAAAACCATTGATGTGCCTGATCTACAGGCTGCTATCATTAATAAGGATGTTTCTTTAGAACCTTAACAACGCCTTTGGGGAGATACCTGGAAGATACACCTCTGCCCATACAAACGTATATAAAATGCTTTCTTCGTGCCCTTTTCAAGATATTATTGTATGGCTTCCCACTCATTGAACATGAATGAGGGAAATCTATTATGAAGCATTAAAACGGACAGATAATGAACCCCTGCAGCTGATTAGTAGCATAGCAACCAGCACAGGAACTTTCTAAAGAAACCTATGCATACCCTTTTACACCTGCTCCTTTCATCCACTTCCCCATTTAATTTGCCTCGAACCATTTGATGATGGTGTTAGACAGAGAGATGCCTTCTGGAGAAGGCTATGCGCACACTTTTTGTATACCGTGCTTTCGAAAGCAAACCAGGACTGCAATCCTATACTGTACCCAGCTCCCATTTAACTTAGTGGGACTTGCTTTTGTAGACACGTACACAACGGCAGTGTAAATATCTGCTTGTTCCCGGATGGTTTTTATTACACTTTGTTTCCTTTGCAATTCTGCCCCCAACCCCGGTATGAATTCTGCCATAATAGCAGGGGAAGGGGTGAGCTAAATGTGATGCCTCCCAGTTTGAAGGATGCTAGCTGCTTCTCAATAAGCAATAACCTCAGGAGCTTAGACCAGCTACAATGGCATTTTGTTTGCTATTGTGCCAACAAACCCTGACCGGACTATGTCACAAATAGCAACATAAAGGAAGACTGCGTTAAAACAGAGTCAGGAAGTAATATGCACTACATTATATCTTCGGGTGACAGGGATGGTGAAGTATAATGTAAGGGCACATTTGTGCATACTTCTTTTATTATAGGTAATGAATATAAATGCCTTTCCAAAGTGATGGAGTATGACTCCAATCAGCTGAGAGTGGTGCCATTTCTCTCAACTCAGAAAGAAGCACAGCAGCGCACATCTAGACCCTAGAAGTGGCAAAAGCATAATGGGTTGAGCCCCCCACCCTAACAGGCCATAGGGGTTTCTGGTGTAAAGCACATTCTCTGATTGCAGAAACTGCTGCTTAAGGCACAAAATAGCTGGTGGCATCTAGGAAATGCAACCGCATTGAGCCAGGTCTGAAGAGGGAGTGCAGCTTTGCTCCCCTGTTATTTCCCCCCGAATCTGGGCTTGTTATGACTTCGAGATTGCGACAGCCGATGCATTCCGATTCACTGAAGAACAATGATTCTAAGCCACAAACCATTTAATGCTTCCCAGTGTTTAGTCAAAGACAAAATGATCTGGTAAACTTCCCGCGTGCTTTCCATTTCTCCACATCTCATTATGTTACTGTCCCTGGTAGTACACAGGGAAAAAATCATGAAGGGAGGATGCAAAGACAGTAAGAACCAAAGTGGTATGCGAGAGTGGGCATGGAAAGAGGGAGTTCTGGGGAAACTGCTAGTAGAGAACTGAAATCTGGAGCAGCTGCCTGTTTTCATTCAGTCATTGTAGGAAGAGTTGCATGGTGTCTCTCCTCACTTCAGTCTCGTATGGCAGCATCTTGAAATGTTTACAGCAGCAAACATTGTGAGAAATGTTCTTTTCACAATCCTGCTAGCAGCAAGGAAAGCTATAATGGAAGCCTCACGATAACATATTTCCATACAAGTTTTCAAGGGTTGCCCAAACCCACCCTCTGATTTACATAAAGGAGCATCAGTTCATTTGATGCAGCAACAGCAGGACAAACAAATTCACCAGAAGAGTAAGCATCATTTGTTCAAAAGATAAACCTCCTACAGCCCAACTAAATGCAAATTAACCCCAGCATAAGCAGCCTACAGACCATGGTGACTCACTCTAGCTGTAAGTGCTCAATGAAAAATTCCTTTGACATATATGGAATAAAGTAGAGGCCGTCAAGGTTCTCAGTTCTTCAAGGCACAAATGTTTTATAATTGGTGTGTTATGCAATTTTATTGTTAAAATTGTTGTGTTTTCTTTCTTATTGATCTAAGCTGCTCTGAATGAGCAGAAGACGAGAGTAATCTTTTTTGCTCAATGCAGGGCTCGAACCCACAACCTTCAGATTAAGAGCCTCATGCTCTACCGACTGAGGTATATCAAATAAGAACAAAAATGCAGTCACTGCTCATAACACACGTCTTGTCGGAAGCCACCATGAATCCCAGCTTGGGGAAAAGGTGGCCTATAAATATATTAAATAAATCAATAATACATAATGTTATTATATTCCTTCATTCTCTCTCCCAGACAGCCTTTCTTGAACTGCTGCTTTTGCAAATTCTCCCTCACATTCAGGGGCTGTCCCACCATTGTTAAAATGGCTGCTTCCATCCCTGCCTCTGCCCCACCCCCCAATTTAAATTATTGTCTAAAGCACTGTGCTAGAAAAGCACATCTGTCAATGGAAGTCTCCTTTTAGAAACCAAGAACAACAACAACAGGCCATGTCATTAAGGATGCAGAATGTCATGCAGGGAGGTCTATTTCTGCCACCTCACTTTTCTATCTACAGCTTTCTGCACCTTACCCACCCACCCCCAGTCGTGTAGCATTTGGGGAGCCAAAGGGGCTGTTGCCCTGGGCTCAAAATTGTTAGGGGCGCAAAAATTGCAATACCTATTGCTGCCTCAATACAGCTGTGTGCTTCTGTCACTGGGCTCCTTTGAAAACGACTGCTCCATGTGGACCAGGAGGCAACCTCTCCAGACAACTGGACGACTCTCTTTTTCTTATCTCTGTGGCTACGTTCTCCTGGGTGACATGGATGCCATTAGACAGTTGAATGTGCATGCATATACCATCCATTTCCTTCCCTCCCAAACACCCCTCTATGGGGCCCCGAGCCCTGGTAACCCTTGCCATGTCACTGCCCATCCCCACACCATTGGCAATGGTTATCTAAGCTCCAGAAGACAATATGTGGGGTTGTTGAGGGTTGTTTGTGGTTGCAGAGGGAAGCGGCAACACCCCATTCTATGAACACCAACCTTGTTCCTTTCACAGAAGGAAAGCCAGGGTGATACAAGTCAGCGATTGCCAAATCCAAGATTGAAAGCAATGATAACTTTGTCACAAATTCTACTCACATTGATCCAGAGCAGATTCCAACATTTAGTTAGCAGAGTACAAACGTAAACGCATTACAGGATTCCCCAAAAATAGACCAGAGGCAATTAATATTTCATCTAGCAGGGCTTTACTGCTACTGAAGGCAAATGAGCATAATGGTCACAAATCCAATACATTCGAGATTGGCACCGTCCATATGAAATCCAGTTGCCGCAGACTTAACTTAAACTTACAATAACTTATAATAAGACTAAAAACCTTAACACTAAGCATACTACCATATTTTTTGCTCTATAACACACACCTGACCATAACACGCACATAGTTTTTAGAGGAGGAAAACAAGAAAAAAATATTCTAAACGAAACAGTGGATGTATGATTTTTGTGGTTCATGCTGTGGCCACAGACGTGATCTGACGGTGAGTTTGGGGTAGCCCAATGCAAAAATCCTGAGGATCCATGTGGATCCATGCTTTGTAACCACATTTTTGCGCCATTGCAGCCCCATGAAACAGTGGGTGCATGTGTGTTTTTTGGTGCAGGCTGTAGCCATGGATATGCTATGTGATCTGATGGTGAACTTGGGGTGACCCAGTGCAAAAATCCTGAGGATCCATGTGGATCCGTGCTTTGTAACCACGTTTTAAGTGGGGAGGGAAGGAAAAGCATTCAAGGGACAAGGAACACGCGTGGGGTGTGTGGAGAAGGATGCTGCTAATAATGCAGAAGAGGGGTTTAAGGGAAGAAGGAACACGCGTGGGGTGTGTGGAGAAGGATGCGGCTAATAATGCAGGCGAGGGGTTTAAGGGGAGAAGGAACACGCATGGGGTGTGTGGAGAAGGATACGGCTAATAATGCAGGCGAGGGGTCTAAGGGGAGAAGGAACATGCTTGGGGTGTGTAGAGAACAATGCTGCTAATAATGCAGGAGAGGGATTTAAGGGGAGAAGGAACACGCATGGGGTGTGTAGAGAAGGATGCTGCTAATAGTCAAAGAAGGATAGAACTTTTTTTATGTATGCAACAACAGCAGCAAGAATACTCATTGCGAAGTATTGGAAGACACAAGATTTACCCACTTGGGAAGAATGGCGGATGAAGTTGATGGACTATATGGAATTGGCGAAAATGACTGGCAGAATCCGAGACCAGGGAGAAGAGTCGGTGGAAGAAGACTGGAAAAAGTTTAAAGACTATTTACAGAAATATTGTAAAATTAATGAATGTTAGGAAAATGTTGGAATGAAGTTATATGGCTTTAGTAGAAATGTTATAAGGAATTAAGTATAAATAGATTAATAGAGTATTAAAGGGAAAAATAAGGCTAGAATTTGTTAAGATAATTAAAGGATAGAAAGCAGAGGAAGATGGAAAGGAATTGCTCAAACAATCAACAGAAGTGGAATACAAAAAGGGAGGTGTGAGGAGGCCACTGAAATAAGTGAATGAAAGATAAGATATTGAAATTGTTTGGTGTTTTTTAAACTGTTTTTGTTTTGTTTTGTTAGTTTAATGTGTTATGTAGTGTTTTTGTATTGTATTGTATTGTTCTTTTTTCTTTTTATTTTTTTTGGTGTTTAAATTGTTGGAAAAGTAATAAATATTTTTTTTAAAAAAAAGAGAAGGGTGCTGCTAATAATGCAGGAGAGGGGTTTAAGGGGAGAAGGAACACGCTTGGGGTGTGTAGAGAACAATGCTGCTAATAATGCAGAAGAGGGTTTAAGGGGAGAAGGAACACACATGGGGTGTGTAGAGAAGGATGCTGCTAATGATGCAGGAGAGGGATTTAAGGGGAGAAGGAACACGCGTGGGGTGGGTGGAGAAGGATGCTGCTAATGATGCAGGCGAGGGGTCTATGGAGAGAAGGAACACGCATGGGGTGTGTGGAGAAGGATGCGGCTAATAATGCAGACGATGGGTTTAAGGGGAGAAGGAACACGCGTGGGGTCTGTGGAGAAGGATGCTGCTAATAATGCAGGCGAGGGGTCTATGGAGAGAAGGAACACACATGGGGTGTGTGGAGAAGGATGCTGCTAATGATGCAGGAGAGGGGTTTAAGGGGAGAAGGAGCTCGCGTGGGGTGTGTGGAAAAGGAGCTTTTCAGCGAGCTGAGTGGGGAGGGGGGGAGGGAAAGAGCACTGTTGCTTTAAAGGAGCCAACCGGACAGCAGCCACTTACAGCAGTGTAAGCAGCTTCTTTCCTCTCCCGCTTTGCTCCTTCTCTGCCTCTTTGCTGCTTTACGCAGCTAATGGCGAATCCCCTGCAACCCAAGTCCTGCTCAGCGGATCAGCTGAGACGCTGGGAGAATCGTAATTTCCCCCTCTCCCTCATCCCGTGCCCTCCTGTCCCCAGCAGCCTTTTTAAAAACTTTTTTACTGGTTTTCACTGCGCTCGTGGCTCAGAGCCCTCCTGTGCCCTGCCGTCCCTCTGCAGCCTCATTGCTCCGCTTAGAGAGCGCACGGACCTTTGCTAGCTGAGGCTGTAGCAGCTGTTGCTGGCTACGCGGCCCTTTTTGCGGCTCGCTATGGCTCCCGTCTGTCCCTCCTCCCGTGTAAGCGGCTGCTGCCTGCTTTGCTGCCATGGCTCTCCTTCCCTTCCTCCTCCTCGGCTCCTCCCCCTCCTCCTGGCTGTAAAGAAAGCAAAGCTAGAGCCGTGCAAAGCCCTGCAAGCAGCTCCCGCTTTGCTTGACTGATAGCAGCCATGGCATTTTCCCTTACTTTCTAGGAGCAAAAAAGTGTGTGTTTTGTAGCGAAAATTACGGTATATACACAACACCACACCAGAAGGAAAGAGAGATAGAAAGAGAAACCTAGGCTCCTTCTGGCCTTATTATTATAGTCAGCATGACCTTGACAGAAAGAGATAACAGAACCATTTTAAGCCAGCTGCACTCAGCTTCTCTGAAGGAATAACCCAAACATCATGAACCTTCTGCTTGTTTCTAGGCAGAATAGAAACTTTTGTGTCAGCTAGAAACTTCACACAGAGAAGCTTCCAGAACCCTCTTGAATTAATTAGAACAGGAAAGATCTCTGCACATCAGATCAATACTTTCTGTACCAAGAAATGCAAACTGACAAACTTATCAAAAACAAAGGCTGCAAAATGTAGAAAAAAAGAGCAGAAGATTCCTTATAGCAGAGATGGTCAGCTCCCATCAGTCCCAGCCAGTACATTCAATGGTCAGAGATGATGGGAGTTGTAGCCTGGAAACACCTGGAAGCTCACATGATTCCTCATTCCCATTTATATATAGTAGTCCCATTGCACTGATCTGAATCAACATCTCTCCGCCAGACCTGTGACCAGTCTTTTGGTAGACTCGGCCTCAAGAGAGTATGACCACAGCAAGCTGTCTGACTGCGATAAAATGTCGATGCTTTTGAAAAAGCCTTGCTTCTGTTGCCTATGTCCAGCTTCAGGATGAAATTGTTCTGCTCTAATCTCCAAGGATTAAAGCAATATGATTTGGAGCTTTTGTACAAGATGACCACTAGCAGCCTCGGGGAGGGGTGTGTGGAATCAGTGGTTTTAAACATTCTAGGAGTGTATGGAGAAAGAAGAGGATATTACATTTTTATTAAAACAGATAACAGGAATGCTATCAGGACAGGAACTTTCTATTGCCTGCTGAGTCCTGTAATGAGGATTCAGGGCTTGGTAAATGATACAGTATCCGCATAAGCCTATGGATGCTCAGCCAGAAGCAGCAAAGCACATCCATTCTCCTGCAGAACTTAATCTTATGAAACGTTTATTTAAGCAACACCTACTAATTAAAAATGCCTGCTTTTAAAAGAAGCCAGGTTCCAGTCTTTCCCCCTGCCTCCCTGTAGCTGTGGATGAAAATTAACTAAGCACATTAAGAAATTAATTAGAAGAATGTGGCCATCTCCTGAAAGGGAGCTATGCGCACCTTTAGTCGATAATGAGGTGCCCTCTCTAGTTAACCGAATGTGCAGTGTATAACAAACAGTTATGCTCGCTGCTTTAGCATGCTAAGGCTGTAATCCTAAAAACACATCCAGTGAA